TTCAAAAGTATTTTACTATATTACTTTATATTCTCATGTATCCATTGTGGGCCAGCCACTAACTGCCAGAAAAGGAGTAGGGGTTGAATATGCAAAAAGTAATAGGAAGTCAGGTCATTGCTGAGTGAATCTGTGTTTTTGGCATCATGCCCCAATATTTAGAACTGTGACTGTCAGTTTTAAAGCACTCCGTAAACATTTGTTAAATTTAACAAAAATAATGGACAAATGGGCTTTACTTAAAATACAGTACTTATGTGGTCCTAAAATAATATCAAACATAAGGAACGCTATCTTTTTAATACAGTTTTTCAGAAGAAAAGTCACAGTGTTTTATAGTCAAATATTTTAATAGTCAACTATTCCTAAATTTCAGAATCATTAAAAAGTGAAAAATAGGAATTTTAGACAGAAGAAACATCATACATGAAGTTGTCAGATCCCTATGGAATGATCTGAGATTCTTATGTTCTCTCTGTTTTATTGACTTCAACATAAAGTGACTAGTGTATGTGAATCAGGCAGCAAATACTCTTAACAGATTTTAGCCTCAAGGATGCCTTACATTACCATGCCTCTGTCACATTTTGCCGCCAAGATTTAATTTAAAAAAAGTATTTCCCCACAAGGTAAGAAATCAGAATTATCAGGGTAAAGTTCTGGAGAGGGACACATTTTCTGTAAACCCCCATAACAGTTATCTCTAGACACATAGATGGAAGCTTAGCTCAGGCTGTTTCCTGGAGGCCACTCTCCAGAGGTTCAGATCAAGGAGTTCATGAGTCCAGAGCCAATATGGGAAAGGTTTTCCAGATGCAGAGTGAAGTAAGAAACACAGGCCTGGAAACACTTTAGGTTCATGTATCCCTTCCTTTCCCCTCCACCTTCTAAATCACATTGTCAGAGCCTGCCACAAAACAATGCTAGAACGGAATCTGGGACAAGACCCTACAAACCCATACTCAGATAGGCAGGGAGAATCCCAAAGAGGTTGGGATGATGCTGGTTGAAAATAAACAGAGGGCAACTGGGTGACTCAGTCAGTTGATCTTCAGGCTCTTGGTTTCGACTGGGGTCATGATCTCTGGGTCTTGGGATGGGCGTCACCAGAAGCCTGCTCAAGATTCTCTCCCTCCCTATCTTCCGCCCTCTCTGCCCCTCCCCCCACCCATGCTTGCACTCTCTCCTTCTCCCTCTCTAAAATAAATAAATAAAATCTTTAAAAAAAATAAACAGTATAGCACATGGATGCAGAAAGACATTATAACTTTAAGAAAAAGCATAGTTTCAGGCCAATGAAAGCCTACAGGAGAAATATTTTGCTTTTTGGGTCACACAAGAAGCCTTGGACAACATTGACGGAAGATACCGCATAGTGAATTTGGATATTTAATGGCTTTTATTAATGCGTAATTTACATCACAAGAAACTGCACCAAATTAAATAATTCTATACGATTTGACTCATGTATATATTTGTCAAACCATCACCACAATCCAGATAATGAACATACGCATCACCCCAAATGTTCCTTCATGTCTCTTTGTAATCCTTCTCACAACCCTCTCCTGCCCCATTTCCAGGAAACACTTTGGTCATGAATTAGTCTACATATTTCATAATTTTGTATAAATTTTACACAGATTGCACTCTTTTGTCTGGCCTCTTCTCAACATAATTATTTTGAAATTCTTCATTGGTCATAATTATCAAGACAGTTTCTTTCTGTTGCTGTGTAGTATCCTGTTACATGCATATAAAACAATTTGTCTATTCATCTGTTGATGACCGTATCAATTGGTCCACATCGGGCTGTTAAAAATAAAGCTGCTGTGATCACTTGTGTTTAAGATATTCTATAGTCACGGGACGCCTGGGTGGCTCAGTCGTTGGGCATCTGCCTTCAGCTCAGATCATGATCCCAGGGTCCTGGGATCAAGTCCCACATCGGGCTCCCTGGTCAGTGGGGATCCTGCTTCTCCCTCTCCCACTCCCCCTGCTTGCATTCCCTCTCTCACTGTGTCTCTCTCTGTCAAATAAATAAATAAAATCTTTAAATAATATATATATATATACTCTATAGTCATATGCTTTCATTTCTCTTGGGTCCATATCTGGGAGTAGAATGGCTGGATCATATGGTAGGTGTACATTTGACTTTGTTAAACCAATTTGTTCTAGTAGCTGTTTTTGTAGATTCCCTAACATTTTCTGCTCAATTATGCTGCTGTTAATAAAGATAAGTTCACTTCTTCTTTTCCAAACTGTATGGCTTTTGTTTCTTCCATGTGCCTTATTGCATTGGCTAGAACCTCTACTTCAATATTAAATACAAGTGGTAAGAGCCAAAAGTCTTCCTTCATTCCTGAAACCAAGAGGAAAGCATTTAAGCTTTCACCATCAACCAGGACATTTGATGTGTGTCTTTTGTTAGCCTTTTTTTAAGTTGAGGAAATTCCCTTCAATTCTATCTAATTTCCTGGAAGTTTTAATCAGAAATGAACTTGGATTTTGTTAAATGCTTTCTCTGTACCTATTGAGATACCCTCCTAAATTGTTCATCTCCTACTTGTCAATCTCTTTGTATATATTATTGATAAATTGTCACAACAAAATAAATACTAAAGAAGATACCACTCTCCCATTTTACCAATAATGAAACAAAGCTCAAAAGTATCCAGAAAGTTCACAGCAGAGCTCATAGATTACAACACAGAGCTGGATGATACCAAAAGCCTGTTCCCTGTTTTTGCCAGTATAGATTGTTGTCAGAGAAAGATTGAGAGAGAGACTAGGCAGTAGTAAAATGACTTCTTCCCAAGCCTTTGAAATATTTTAAGACAATCTTTTATAGGTTCTTTATTTATGCAAATGCAACTAATAAAGAAGAATTAAATAATTGCAGGGTTGGCTCTTTTACCAAAAGAGGAAAGAAAACATATTATAATGGATACCCAAACTGCTATTCAGGAGCTGACCACTGGACAGTGGCTTCACCTTCCATTCAGAGCAATTATTAGACACCTGTTTTAAGCAATGCACTGTAGCAAGAGTGACAAACTCTTCTAGGGTTCTCTGATGCACCGATATATTGGAGCTCCATCCATGACTAGTGATCACTCTCTTTCTCTGCTCCTTGAAACTTGCTTGTGATAATGCAGTCCAGAACATAGTTATTCCAATTACCTTCTATAAACATTTCCCCAAAATTTTGAAATAGAATGGCCTTATAACCCAAAAATTCAACATCAGGAATCTACTCAAAAATTGAAAGAATTTGGCTACATCCCGATAATATTGAGGTGGTTGTAGATTCCTATTTCCACCAAATGATAGAAGAAACCCAAAAGTCCATCAAGAGATATAGATAAACAAAATGTGCTATGTACATACACTGGAATATTATCCAACCTTAAAAAGGAAAGAAATGTTGGCATGTGGTGCAACATGGATGAACCCTGAGGACGTTATGTCAAATGAAATGTCACAAAATGACCAATACTGCATAATTCCACCTCTATGAGGTATCTAAAGTAGTCAAACTTATGGAAAGAGAAAGCAGAATGGTAGTTCCCAAAGACTGGAGGGATGGAATAATGGAGAGTTATTGTTTAATGAGTATAAATATTCAGTTTTTCAAGGTGAAAAGAATTTTAGAAATGGATGGTGGTGCTGGTTGAACAACAATGTAAATGTATTTAATACCGCTGATCTGTGCAATCAAAAAAATTTTTAAATGGTAAAAGTGTATGATAGAATGGTAAAAGTTTGTAATTAAAAACATTTCAAGAGATTCTTAAGATTTCTTCTCTACATATCTGTCTTCCTAACAAATATAAGAGGGTGTTACAATGCAAGACCAATTATCAACCATCCATTATCATTCAAATTTTAAGGCACTGAGCAAATGGAGTTAGAGGTGGAAGGAGGAAAATGGAGAGAATGAGCATTTTGGAGTATGGAACATTTTTTAAAAGATTTTATTTGTTTATTTATTTATTTGAGAGAGAGAGAGAGAGCATGAGTAGGGGGAGGGGCAGAGGACACAGGGAGAAGCAGACTCCCTGCTGACCTGGGAGCCCGAACTGGGGTGAGATCCCAGGACCCTGGGATCCTGACCTGAGCCAAAGGCAGACACTTAACCAACTGAGCCACCCAGGTGCCCCTGGAGTGTGGAACATTGATCAAACAGGAGGGCTTGGAAGTGTGCAAACTAAGCCATATGTTTGCAAAAAATACTTTTGAAGGAGTGTTGAAATCAAGAGCAGGAACAGAGGGGAAAATTCATACTTTGCTCTTTCATAGTGTCCCCCTAAGAACCCCGAATTATGATCGTTTGCTAATGAGACTGGTGGGAAGCAGGTAAGCCTCCTGTATGCAGACTGAGCACACCTATGCTAGAGGTGTTAATAAGATGGAATGAACACTAATATGAACTTGTCACAGAGTAGGACCCTTAAAAATTAAATGCAAGTACAACGACTCACAGTAAACAAACCTAATTAAATCATTACATGGTATAAAATGGCATGATATAAAACAAAAACACAAAAAGCACAGAGGCATTTCATGGCTTTCCTTAGTCTAACAATGCCTGTACCATAATATATGCTCAATAAATATTTACTGAACAAATTGATCTGAAAATCCAACTATTCACACACATTATTACTGATTTTTAAGTCAAATGTTTCTAAATTTCCTTAGCCAATTCTTCTGGCTAAATCTAATTGCAAAATGGCGATTTGTTTATTGTGGCTATTCTAGTCTTCAATAAACAATTTCAACACAAATGTATAGGGATAAGGATGTTTTTGATGCATGATAACTCTTATCCAGAAAGGTATTTTCTTAGAGTGAGTTTTTCCCTTTAAGCCTATACCTGTTCCACTTCTTGTCTGGGATGGCAATCCCGCCCCTTGGGCCCTACAGCAAGGAGATGCATCAAGAAGACCCTCGGGTTTGGGTACACCTCCCTCCATCACGCATTTTACTGTAGACTACCTCAGTGCACAGAAATACACTGCAGAGTCCTCCAGCTCTGAATCGAAGGTGACAAGTTGGATAGGTTTTCTTGTCTTCAGGAAATCCAATGAGTAGCAACCTTCTGTGGCATTTTGCTGGCTGTAAGAATCTTGATGAATAAGGAATATCATCACTCCACTACTGGGCTTCTTGTACCACATAGACTATAACTTAGATCACTGGTGTTATATGTGCATTCCAGAGTGACAGCCCCCTTCTCCTGCACCAACTTTGCTGGTTGGGCTTGAGTTACCTTCCGGCAATTATGGATCCTAAAGGAAAAAAACATGGAATCAGGGGTGTCAGAATAAGTGATGTGGCACAAAGAAATTCTATATTACATGCTACAATCCCTCCTTCCCATAAGACCCACAGGAGACTGCCTATCTCCCTTGTTTTAGGTCATAGAGGAGGTACATTCCCACTGGGACTCTCCCCACCTAGCCACATTGAAGCCATGACCACCTTCAGGAGCCTGGAGAGCAACATGTTTGAGTTCTCCCACTAGATGGAAAATGTCTTCTTCTTCAATTTCAGGGCTCGGCACCATGAGGGGAGTCTGACAGAGTGAGGGAAGGACTGCTGAGTATGTGTTACTGTGGCCCAAGAACAGGAAACAGGGCTTTCCTGGTGTTGCAAGTGTGTGGGTCATGTCACACTTCTCTATGAAAGAGCTGAGATTCTCACTACCCAAAATTCTTTTGCATTAAGCCACTTTAATTGAGAACCTTACATCTGAAAATAAATATGAGTAAAATTTATATTGAAATGAGGATTTGAGGACTGATGGTTTAACTAACTGTGATGTTCATTCATTACATCTGCGATAAAGTGGGTGAGTGGCACTTACCGAAAATATGACAGATAGGGCTCACTTTGGGAGCACATATACTAAAATTAGAACGGTACAGAGAAAATCAGCATGGCCCGTGTGCAAGAATGACATGCAAATTCATGAAGCATTCCGTAATCTTAAATACCACACATAATGAATTATGGAAACAACATAAGATGTAAGAATCATGAAAAAAGAATGTAAGAATCATGTATGCCTGCCCTATGTGATTTCACCCAAGGTAGAGATAAATCACTTTATGATAAGAAGACAAAGTGTTTAGACTAATCACAGTAGCTCTTTCAATGTACCTACTGTTATGCCAGTGTTCCTCCTCACTATCAATGTCTATACAGATGCCTGTGTTGGAGCCAAATTCAGAAAATTCTTAATCACTTTTTGCTAAAGAGTGCAGACTGAAGACCTCAGACAATAGATCCTGTCACCGAGGTTTCCTTCTCACTGTTTCATTTCCACAGCTCAGCTCAGTTCTGTTCAGAAAAGCCAGAATAGATGCCAGAGTTTGGTCATTAAGTTATCAATCCTTTGAATTTATATTTTTCCTCTTCCTCAGCTGAACCACAGTAAGCTTCCATGCTTCGTATGCTCAGTTCTGAGGACCCGAGGTAACCACTCGGTCTTCTTATACTCCTTCTCTCCCCCAATACCCTCAACACACACACACACATGCACACTCACACACACGCACATACCAACGTGGGCAACGCCATCTTCCTCAGTTATCCAAAAATATGTGGTGCTTTTTTCCCTGACCCTTTCTGGAGGGCACAGCACACACTGAGGTGCTTCTACAATAGGTCCGGGTTTCTCCTTGTCTAGTCTTTCATGAGAGTTTGCCTTTCTCCATATACAGCTCATTTTCTAAAATTGGTTGGCGTCACTGTCTGCTTTTTTCATGTTTCTGTTTGTGCCTATGGCTTTCTGCCCTTTGGGATGTCTTTACTAAATTTTTTAAAGAGCATTAGAGAGGCACCTGGGTGGCTCAGTCAGTTAAGCTTCTGAGGTCAGCTCAGGTCATGACCTCAGGGTCCTGAGATTGAGCCCTGCCTCCTACTCCTTGCTCAGCGGAGAGTCTGCTTCTCCCTCTCCATCTGCCCCTCCCCCTGTTTGGGTTCATGCACTCTCTCTCAAATAAATAAATAAATAAATAAATAAATAAATAAATAAAATCCTTTAAAAAAAAAGAGTATTAGAGAAATCAAGAGATAAACGTGTATTATTAATCTACCATGGGTGGTTGTTTTTTTTTTTAGAGATTTTATTTTTAAGTAATCTTTACCCCCAACATGGGCTCGAACTTAAAACCTCGAGATCCAGAGTCCCAGTTCTACCCACAGAGCCAGCCAGGCACCCCAAGTCTACCATGTTTATCCAAATGTCTGAGAAAACTATTATTATATATCCCTCGAATTGTTTAAAGTATATTTTCACATGCATTTATATTTACACAGTTTGGAAAATAAAAATTACATTTTAAAACAATTAAATAAAAAAATCACTTTAAACTAAAAATACATAAACAAGATAATAGGGAATGTATTAATATTCTGATCATAGCTCATTCATAAACTCTGCAGATAAGGAGATGATAATTAAAGAAGATCGCAACAATATTGACAAAGTCTTGCACTACAACACAGACTTTGCTTTTTTATTATTCATTACACAACTTCACTGACTCCCATACATTCTCCCAGTCCCATTATTTGTGGCTCTCTGTGAGAGGTTGCAAAACATGAGTTAGAGAAATCTATAGGATTTCCCTCCCAGTGTCACCTATCTATATTGTGAGGAACCATCAGTGCAAGAGCATTTTGTCTCACCATATTTCCTGGGCACGGAGAACGATCTCATTTGAGTTCCTACTGTCAGAAAGCCAACTGATCTATTTAACTGGCCAGGACATGAGCCACTTCTACCATTCTGATTCAGCCCACACCTCTTCATGTAGAATATCAGCCTGAGTTGCCACCTGATTCACTAGAAAAGAAAGCAGGGCAGAGGTCCCTGGCCTCTCTTTTCCTTGCTCAGGTTCATGTGTTCCTCCTCCTTTCTTCTCTTCCCTTCCCTTCTTTCACTAATAAACCCTGGATTGGGGCTGAAGCTCTCCCATCACCTCTCCTGTCATACTCTGTCAGGAAGACATTGGGCATCACCACCTTCTCAGGCACACCATGTGTCTCTAAAACTGTCATAAGACACAGCAATACCCACCAGGGTGCCCTGAATAACTTGTGGGGCTGGACGTTCACTGCAAGGATGAGCAAGAGACCACTTCATTGTTATGTGGCTTTACCTTGAAATTACTTATGCCCTGGCTGAGGAACTCTTGGCATCAAACTGTTCTCAACGTCACTAAGGAACAGCTGGGGTTGGGGGATGTTACTTCTGGTTCCTATGCTCTGATTGTTTGTATGATTTTGTATCAAGCAGACATTGAGGGACAAACAACCACAGACTGTGCTGGAACCAGAGTGGATCAGGCAGAGACGCTCAGCACCCAGGCCCCTGCTCTGCTCAGAGTTTGTGCTCAGCTCCCCCTGCAGTCCCCGTCACTGTGTCATTCATGGCACAGTAATACACAGCTGAATCTGACGCTTGCACTGAGCCTTTCTCCAAGCGGAAGGATTTGGAATCTCTGTTATAGGTGGCTTCAAATCCTTTCTTGCTTCCCTTCTCCTTGTCCCTCGAGGCTTTCAGGAGGAGCTCTGGACCTTCTCCCGGATACTGGACATACCAGAAAAGAGTGGGATAACCAATTGTTGAATAGGTACAGTTTATAGTCAGGAAAGCCTCTTCTGAGAGGGTCACTTGGCCCTCCGTCTGAGTCACTGAGTCTCCATGGGTTTGTCCTGAGGAAAAAGAAAAGAGACCTGCATCACCTTGGGCATAAAGCTCTTGGATAAAATGATGGTCAAAGGTTTTGCTGACACAATGCAAGAAAGAATCCAAATTTTAAGAGGTATGTACTTACCAAGCATTAAGAGTGCCACAGTCACGAAGCCTGGAGAACACTTCATCTCTGGAGCATCACCTAAATAACGTTCTTCATTCTTACCATGAAGAAACACTGGAGTGACAGAGAAATGATCAGTGGAAGCCTACGTTTCACACAGGAAATGTGATTGTGGTAGGAAGCTGCACCCCCTGGTGGACAGGGACTGAAATGGGTGCATGTTGGCCAGAGTCCTTAAACACTGAAAAAGACAATACCAGACTGGTCATGCAATTACAACTCCAGACCCCTTTATAAAATCCAAACCTTGGAGAAGCAACATTAATTCAAGTTGCTGAATTAATGAAAATCTCATATATATGTCATTTTACAAAAAAATCATGTGGTCAGCGTTGGTCAATATGTTTTTAATGTTGGTCACAACTTCCAAGTACTATAAAGACAATGAGGTTTCTTAACCCTTTCATGTATCTCCTGCATCCTATTAGAAATGCACAGCAAATACATGAATATTTTTTTATTCATGGAATTCAAAAATTTTTGTCAGAAGGACAAAGTCTCACAGCAAAAAAAACAATGTAGGAACTAAGAAAAAATGCTTGAGCAGGTCATCTGAATATACATTTCTAACTAAGAGCCTTATGTTACCACTTCTTTAAAAACATAAAACAGAACCATGGAAAAGTTCAATAATCCCATCTTGGTTACAGAAAATTTGGCACAAACTTTGTAAAGAATCACTAGGAATGATTGATTTGATGATCCACTAGAACAAGATATATCAAAGCCAAGACAGCTGCCTGGTGCAGCCAAATGATCTCTACTGAGCCTTTGCTACAATCCTCCAGAGACAACGCATCACACTGAGAATATACTGCAACATTAAACAAACACCAGTGGGGAGACTTTTCTGAGATGGCAGACAATAGGGCTATTCATGCCTTTCTGGAAGTCAACAAAATCCCATGAAGTTGGAAAGGTGAAATATGCTCTGAAATACTGTCCTAAGGAAACATTTGAGTATCTCCAAAGGGATCTTACACAATTGCATTCCTTACATGAGCTATGAGTATGGATGGGTAATGGTATTTTATTTTCTACATGGATGGAACCACTCTCTTGCTTGAAAACCACAGCAATCACAAGCGTCAAATATCAACTGGATTTTGTGTTTACTGCCTATTCCATTTCAATTACTCTCTAGATAGCAGAGGAAATTTCTCTGGGACAGTTAGGTAAGGTTAGGCCTCACACAGAAACTTCACTTCTCCTATCACATCCCAATCCTGTGGAAAAGTGGAAACAACAAATAGAATATTAAAACTGAAATGAGTTATTATAGCAGTTATCCTTGAACTACTGTGGCCTGGTACAGCCTTAGCCCTCGTGGCCCTGCATCCTTCCCTTACAAAGTCCTAGGCTGTCTTATTATGAACTGTTCACTGTGGCCCACATAACTGAGATGTCCCAACCCATATGTATTCCAACCTTCACAAACTGAGCTAGATAAGTAAACCCTTGACACTTTTCCTTTCATTCCAGGTACAGGCTGCTCTGTGGCCATTCATTTAATCACCATTACATGACCTAAACCTTTGGTGCTCTGAACAAAGTCTCAGAAAAAGATTGCCATTGAGATGTATGAAATGACCTTATATGTACGATTTATTACCAGTT